AGTACAAAAAGGATAACACTTGCATCAAAGGGGAATACGAACAGTGCATCCTTCGCCATGTTCAAATAATATACGCAGCCACGCCCACTCCATCGCTGGGATGTGGAGGCAGTTGAGAGTGCCACTCAGCAGCGAATCTAGGTCCCTTCCCCTAAACAAGCCTTGGGCTTGGAGCGCAGACGACTAGAGTACACTAATTGCGAGCCTAAGTGGTGAACTTGCTTTCTTATGGTTGTGCCACAACGGTTTCATATGGTGAAACCGCTTTTAGGTCGACGTTTCGACCCTTTTCTTCCAGAACCCCTGATTGGAAATTCTCGTCGTCTGCGCTCCATGCCTAAGGCTGCTTCTATACTTTGCGACTCGACGTTCTAGAAGAATCAGCGCTTTGAGCGGATCGACGCTCTGGCCGAAAAAGGAAGTACACTATCGATTTAGCGTTCTGGAAAAGTCACTTTTAGAACGAACTTCAGAATCGATTCGCTGGAAGGCGCCAAGTCCCTCTTACCTGTACTTTCCTTCCTTGAAACCCCAATTCGCTAAAAACGCTTGATCTCTCAAAATGCCGAGTCGCAAAGTAAGAGCGCAGCCTAAGCCTTGGTCATGGGGAGGAACATAGAGGCGCACCCGAGTAGCATCCCCAACCACCTCAAAGCCGGCAACACCTCAACTATTGGCGGCCCACTTTCTCATTTTGGAGCTCAGAATTTTAGCAGATTCTGGTAGACATGACGTCCCCGCGTCATGTGGAAGTATGACGGTAATTAGCGCGGTCCTTCGCCTTCCTTCACCAAAGTGCATGTGCGGTCGATGGCGATGCTCGTCTGTGACGATATAACCTACTGGGAGACGCTACCATCTCGAAAACTTGGCCTTCAGGCGGCAACAAGGACCATTAGAAAAAGAGTCCAGAGCGGGTTCCCAATTACTGTATTCGCCAGTGTCAGTCAGATTCTATAATTGCTCCTCACAAACTGGCAGTTCGTTTTCGTCAACGAACAAAGAATTCATAAAAGCGACATATCGATTTTACCAACAACAAAACATTATAGGGTTTTATTACGCATTTATGTTCCCTGTTCATTTCAATATCAGCAAAAAGCCCCATGGTCAATAATTTCAGCTTTTCGCCACTTCATCATAGCGAGTGCCTTATGGTTAATATCGTTTATTTGCCAAGATCCCACGGCACAGGGGTTATCGGAGCGTGAGGTTGGTGACGCCGCAAAACTGTGTTCACAGCTGCGCCGCCGGCACTCGTGTACAAAATTGCGTAACATGGCGGGAGAGGTATCCCATGGTTTAACACTGTGTCTTCGTTCCTCATTCCCCTGCCTCCCCTAATACAGTGGAAGTTTGGTATCAGTTAGTTGACCTTGACTAGAAAATGGCTTCGACTTTCCATGGAACTTTGAATAGGATCACCTGCCCCGGCAGAAGCGATCCATACCCAAATGAGAGGCGCGAGATGAGCCCGCAGCTGCCAGTTACTGTGCCACTTTCTCACTCAAATAGTGCCGCAGCAACGGGGCTGTAGGGCACTGGTAACAGAGTGTCGCCTCTATACGCCCCACTATCCCCAAATTGCAGCGCTTCATCGATACCAAGAACCCAGTAGAGAGCAATCTAGAAGTGATGAGCGGCGACATCAAGTATACAAAGTAGTCTGCGCGCATGGTGATGGTGCCTGCCTGCCGGCGCGGCGCGCGCGAGGCAGGGACGCATCATTGTAATGCCATCACAACGCGGGGTCGTATTGACCGGATGGATGTGGGCGGACGGTCGCTATTATGGCCGAGAAATTTTTTGGTAGGTAATCTTTCTTGCTTTCGCGGAAGTGGCCTATAAAGGGGGAGGGGGGGGTCGTATTTGGCCGTTGTTGAGAGAGGGACTGTCAAAGGTCTATACAACTAATACTTCCGATAGTTGAAAATGATTGTTGAAGTCCTGACGCACCTTGACGGAAAAATTCCTTAGGGGAGAATCGAGGAAGCGGTAGACTAGAACGGGCGAGCGGAGGGGGGGGGGAGGTTAGTACCTGAGGATAGGCGACTGGGGGGGCGTATTTCCAGAAAATGATCACAGGCGCGATGGGCGTGCCCCTGCGTCGAGCATCTCGGATCACTGCCATGCATACCTGTTCCTAGCTTTCACTGGCCAGCAGAAAGTGGCTCGTCACGCAGCTGCAGCCTCATTCTCCCTCAGGACCATGACCCGCGAAACTGAGTGTACAGTTTGTCTCTATCCCTGTTTCTCCAAAGTTTTCACAGGAGCTTGAGTCGCTCCCTAATGAGAGATTAAAATTCTGAACGAAACTCATCTACGGAGGGTTTCACGGTATTTAGTGTCACTAAGACACAAGTACTACCAGATTGTGTACTCAAGGCGACTAACGCCCCCCTTCAGAGCTAATCGTGTCCATTCAGAAAATCGCGCAGTAGGGAAGATTATCTTAACCCTGTAGCACATTGACCCTGAAACGTGTACAGCTCACAGATTGGTTTTCAGGTCATGTGGCAAGGGAATGATATATCACAACAACACTCTACTGTCACTGGAATGCTATCAGTTACTAATCACATTATAGAAATCAGTCTGTCATTCTTTCTTATGTTGTTGTACTTGGCATGGAAATTTGTTATCGTGTTTACATCAGTAGCTTATCACTTTCTGGAATCACACAGAGGAGAGTTGTTGATCTTTCTCAGCCGGACTTTTTTTCTAGGAAATATACATGCTTATGGTGGTACAGTGAGAAGAGAGCCTATAACAGCATGACGGTGTTTGCTTTTATCACAGCTGAGCGAGTTACATTCGCTGTCGATAGTCGCGATCAAAGCCTCATGGAAACTTCTCGACCGCTGGACCTTCCGTATTTCCAATGAATGAAAGTAGTTTTTAGATTTGCGACAAGTACTCTACATTAGCTTTTGATCATCGCTGCCGCGGACAAGGAAGGGAGAGGAAAGCGTGGAGACGTGCGAGAGAAACCATGAAATACCGCTTTGTCGCGCCGCGCCCGGTATAAGGGCAACGCTTCCTCGATTTGCACACCCCTTTCGATTGGAGCATCTGATTTTACATAGGCAAGGACATCGCGGAACTTATGTCTGTTTTTGGACTTACATCGTCTATTCTCGACTAATACCACCTAAAGTCGTCGTCACTAGCAGGCGCGACGTCGCACGCGGGGGGAAAAAAACATCCGACTTTCAGGGTGAATCACGATTCTCTTTGTGCACATACCCGAGACAGTACGTGCGGTCGAAATGGAACTAGGCCAAGCCTCAGAGTAACACAAGGGACGGTACAGATGTCTCGCTAGAATCATCTCCAAAGGATGCGAGAAGCGATGCGCATTATCCTCACTAATGCACAGCGTGGGTGGCTCACGAACTCAGCGCAGTTCGGCGACGTGAGGGGAAGCGGAGGGAGGGGGCACGTTGCACTTTCGCTGCTTCACTAGTTTTGGTTCACGAGTCACACTCTGGTGAAACCTGGAGCCTGTAAACTCTAGTCAAGCCTGAGAAAGCGTCGATCCCACCAAGGGCCAGATCGCGTACTTCTATGGTGATCCATGCGATTTGACAAGGGTTGACAAGTGAAGTGGTCTCTACAAAGTTGGCTGATAAATTTCGTAGCTTCACAACATTTCGCACGTCTTCATTCGATGGGTTCGATGGGAGTAGCAAAGGTGCCAAAATGCCCCCCCCTCCTCCCTTCTAGTGCTGCCACAAATAGCGCGACGACACTTCTCAAGGAAAAGCACCATCGAAAGGTTTCTTCGAGTGGGTCGTCGTAATCCCGTAGTCCAACTGGAAACACTGTCGCCAAGCTGCAGTTCAGGGCAAAATTCTCCGTAGGGTCGAACCAATCAAGCGTTCCAGTTCTCGGACCGAACTGCGTCGTTGCTTGTTCTGCAATTAACAGGCAAAACAAAACAGCTCACCACACATCGACAAGACCCTGCAACTCCTTGTGCAGGCATTATCAACTCACAATCGCAATTACAATGCTGGACGGAAGTAGAGAGCGTGGCGCATCCCGATATGATGGGCCACAGTGGCGATGCCGCCAGTATTTTTCATTGACAACTGCACTTGTTTCCGTCATTATTCACCTATCATTGCTACCCGGCAAGCACTTGTCAGCTTCTAGACTCGACTGGCGCTCGTTGTTTTGGCCCAAATTTCAGCATTCTCGTGCTAAAAAACGGTTGTTTCTGGACTGCTAGAACCACTAGCAGAACCTGGTTCACTGGCGGCAATATCTCGCCCACTTCCTTGCTCAGACATTGAGCCAATTCAATTAATCTCAGGCAAAAATCCCTTGCTCAGACAAAACATCAATTTTTTTGAATTTTTCATTCGTTTAGTGACGATGCAATACATAACTGCTTTGCTCGACAATAATAAATGAGTTACTAAATCCGCATAGGAGAAACAGATGAAACCAATTTGACCTTAATTGATCGTTTTCGATATGCACTCATCAAATAATGCCACTAAAGCTACATATGTGCCGTTAGGAATGTTTGCAACATTAACTGGAGGGGGGGGGGGACTCAATATGGCAATTAAGTGTTGTTGATGATAATTTAAGCTGGAAAAGAAGAACGGATACAATTACTATTTCAACTGTATTGTCACAACTCTGCAGTATTTCCTAGAAAACAAAACAATATTCAAAACCAGTACTAGCCGACTCAGTTGCAATTCTCATTTACAGACCCGCATATAGTGCATTCACGAATACACAATAGACAAAAACAGACAAAAACACGAGAAATGAACAGAAGATGAGTAACCGTAGAGGCGGAAAGCGTATGGATATGTACACGAGCGACATTAGCGACCGAAAATCTACGCGACGGGTGACAATCGCCACCAATCACAAGCGCGAGCAGGCGGCGTGCCGATTACCCTCCCGTACTTCAAGGAGGAAAAAGCGGCACAGCACTACACACACGGAGCGTCGACGCAGGTGGCACGAGCATGAGGCTAATGTGCGTCCACTGCGCATCCGTTACATCGGCCAGCCTTTAATACTGCGCGTGCATGAGCACTCACCACCACCTCTTCACATTCGTCATCCTGTCGCATCAAGCTCATCCCAGTGTTCTGCAGCGATTGACAAGATTTTGAAGGTATTAGATGGACTGCCAGACTGAATCGGTTCCGTAACGGCCTTGTCCTTTTTCGTCGACAGCCTCCTCGCTGGTTCAGACGCTGTGCGTCCAGGAGCACTGAAAACAAAAACCTATAATGTAACGATTTAAGACATACTTTTTTAAAGGAAGTTATTATATTGTTATCGACCCTCGGCACCCGTGACGTTGCAGTAATGGGCGTTGTCCCTAGACAGTTACGTAGCTCGCTGTGAAAGGGAAATCAAAGTAGTAGGACATGGAGCTGGCTCTGAAGGACTGAGAAGGTCGAGCAGCTTAGAACAACCCACGCTCAAAGGTCTCAGTTAAAACTAGCTGCCTTTTGGTCGATGTTATTAACCCTCGGTAGCCCTCGCATAGTGGCAGCAGAATTGGGCTAGGGCTCTGCGCGTGACGTACTAGCACTAACACTGTAAACTTGCGACTTCCAGATATGATTACTGTGGCAGGGTTCTTCATTAGCCGGTCTGTCAACCTGCTGGAATCGGCAATTTTTGCAAGGCATGGCAGGAATCGAACCCTTGGCTCAGGGGGCAGACATGAGACTAAACACTTAACCACACGGCTATCCCTACCCATTAATGAGCTGAGCAATAAATAATTACACAGACCCTGCATTCCGTAGTGCTAACCGGTGGTCTCTCTGACGCAAATGGACCCAATTTCCAGTAATTTTTCAGAATATTTTTGTTGAGAATTTCCCTCCTAATTGAATTTCAAAGGGCTTAACGAGAAACACGCGAGCTCAGTCTCAGTCCAGCTGAACAGCAAAAACGTACACACAGCAAAGTGAATCCCTTACATCAGATCCCACGGGCCAGAGAACCAATCTCGAACAAATTGCCGCGCTCTTCAGCATCGTCAAATGCGCTTAAACGATTCCATTGCACAGAATCGTGGCTAGGGCAGGCAGCGCGTTCAATTATCCTGAGGAAGAGGTAGCGCAGCCAAAACCCCACTACAGAAATAATGAGAAAAATAGTATTTTTACAAAGGAAATCTACAAGGAAGAACATCTCACCTCCTTCTTTCTCTAACTGCATGCGCTTTGATCCACGCAGAACATTTCGACGGATAGCACCGTAACCGTTCTGCGTCGTATAGGTAGAAAATTGATTTTGATTGCTATATGTTGACTGTTGGTACTCATTTTCGATTCCTACAGTTTTCGCTTCCTGAAACACCATTATTTAATAGTAATATTCAATTTTCACGTCAAAAACAGAGGAAACACACGACTTACCTTATTATGGTTCTCATCAACTTCATCACCATCGCGGCGATTGCGGTTTGGCCAAATGAACCACTTAGGGCCTTGGCGGACTTCGATTACCTAGAAAAGTACATGTTCAGTACCTTGTCTTCAACTTACACGCTAATTAAGGGGGAATGAGAAGGACTACTTGCTCAAAATGGGAGAGGGGGGGAGGGTAAGTGACATGAGAATCGTAACATGCCGCTCTCGTGGGCGTCGCGCGCGACGTCGCGCCCGCAATTAGCGACGTTTCTAGGTCGCATAGGTGGACAACAGGCAATAAATAACCAAAAATAGACATAAATGTCACGATGCCCTAGTCTACATGGAAACCAGTGCTCAAATCGACAGGGTAATGCAAACTAACAAAACGTCGCGCCCTCCGCGCGCGCGACGAAGCGGCAAACTACAGTTGTCT